CGGCTGGCACCCTAGTCCATGAGGGTGTGGGGGCGCTGGCCACCCAGACACCCTGACTTCCCCTGAGGGGCCTCGTCAGACCCCACCATGAGGACCAGCTGGTGGGGAGCGAGGCTGGGACTCCCGTGGTCTCCCCGAGCCCGACCCGGTGCCTCCCTGCCACTGTGGTCAGCAATGGGGGACCCCCCAGTGTCTGCTGTCCCACTGTGAGCAGAGGTCCCACAGCCCATGGAGCGGGTGTGTCTGTCCTTCCCAGGTCCAGCGCCGAGTGCTGAGGTGGCGGACATTCTGAGCACCTGAGGCATGTCCCTGAGGGGGTGGCACCACACCTGTGACGGTGGCGTCCCCCTGCGAGATGACCCGTCCCTGTGGCCACAGGCTGGTGCGTGGGGACCCTCTGGCTTTGCAGGGTGAACAAGGGGCCAACTGTCCCTGGTGGGCTGGTGACAGTGCTGCTGACCAGCGGTTTCCAGGGGCAGACCGGGGTCAGAGGACGGCTGGTGCAGGGCCTCCATGACAATGACCACCAACCTGGGATGAGGGTCTACCAAGCCTCCGAGTCCAGCGCCCCAGCCCCGGAGGGCACAGGCTGGACCAGGGTCCCAGGTGAGCTCCCTCCACCTCCTACCATGGTGTCCAGCTCCCTCCAGGGCTCCAGGGGGCCCCTCCTGCCTCTCCAGCTCCTGGGCTCCAGGTGGCCCTGGGCTGGCCTCTCACTGCAGTCTCTCCATGGGGCTCCTCCTCTGGGTCTGTGTCCCCTCCTCTGTCTCTCGTGAGGACATGGCCATGGCATGAGGGCCCCATGACCCAGGAGGAGCCCATCTGAGGACCCTCCACTGGCCACCTCTGCAGAGACCCTGCTTCCAAATAAGGATCCGTTCCTGGTTTGGGGTTCCTATGGGCTGAATTGTCCCCCCGTCCTCTGCTGCAGCCCTGGCCCCAGGACCTTGGGATGTGCTGTGTGTGGAGAGGGGATGGAGGTGCAGTGAGGTCCCCAGGGTGGCCCTGACCCAGCAGGACTGGGGTCCTTGTAAGAAGAGGACACAGACGCACACAGAGGGTCAGCCCCGGGAGGACACAGGGAGAAAATGGCATCTGCTAGCCCAGGAGAGAGGCCTCGGGAGGAGCCAGGCTGCCCACGCCTGGACCTTGGGCCTGGGCTGGAAAACCAGCCGGAGGTCACCTGGCTTTAGCGGCTCTGCGTGCGTCACCTGCTTTAGCAGATTTAGGCGCAGGCCGCCCAGTTTAGCAGATGTGCATGTGCCGCCCAGTTTAGCAGATTTCCCCGCGTCACCTGTCTTAGCAGATGTACCCGTGTCACCCTCTCTTTGCAGATTTCCCTGTGCCACCCTGACTTAGCAGATGTGCATGTGCCACCCAGTTTAGCAGAGGTCCCCGTGTCACCTGACTTTGCAGATCTGGGTGCATCTCCAAGACAAGTCTGCACAGACCCTCCTCCTCTGAAGCCGTGCTGAAGCAGCAGGAGCCTGGACCCGCAGGGTGAATCAGAAACCGCCAGACAGAAGGCTCCCAGGGGCGGATCCAGAGCCCCGCGTTGGCTGTTTCAGACTCCCCCGGGACTAGGGGACGTGATGCTTCCTCGTGGGGTCTCAGGCAGGACAACAAATTGGCTCCAGATGGTTACTAACAACCTCTGGGCTGCTAATCCTCCTCCAGCTGCGGGTCTGGGGAGCATCCTCCAAGTGGTGCTATGTCCCATGGAGGTCTGGGCTGTCTGCAGTGGTGCTGGGTGCTGAGTCTCAGGCTGT